GAGGTGTGTAACACATGGAGGTGGGACGGGAGAGCCGCAGCTTGTGTTTGCCTGCTTCACTGCGTGCGTCCCGCCCCACCATGCGTGCGTGCGTCCCGCCCCAGTTTGCGTGCGTGCGAGGGATTTAGGGCGGACTGGTGTGGGTGAGATGCAGCGCGATGGGGCGAGGGGAAGGTAGCCATGGCACGGCAGGGGCAGGGGCAGGGACGACAGAGGTTGGTCGCTTCAACTAGAAGGGCCGCTCACAGCGCTGAGAGTGCGACAGGCGAGAGCAGCGGAAGGGGAGGAGGAGAGCAGGGGGAAGGAAACGTGAGACGGATAGCGCGCCACGCTCGTGTGCGACCCTCACACCGCCCTCCTCTCTGCGTCACCGCGCTTGTCCAAAACCCTAAACCTTGAAATCCGAATCCTAAACCCTGGTGCACGCCGCTGCGCGCACCTTTTCGTCCCTGGTTCGGATCACATCCGCGTCGCGGAACTTGAGCGTTCAGCTTGTCTTTGGCTGTCTACGTCCCGTCCCTCCATGCGTGCGTGCGTGGGATTAGAGTGGACTGGTCTGGGTGGGATGCAACGGGATGGCGCGCACCTTCTCGTCCCTGGTGCGGATCACATCCGCGTCGCGGAACTTGGTGGTGCGGCGCAGCAGAAAGCACCCCATCGCCTCGTCGCAGTGGAACGTGCCGTTGTGCGTCCCGATGCGCTTCCGCGCCGCACCCGCCTGCTCGCCGTTCCCCGCGCTCACCGCCGCATCTGCCGCCGCGTCTCCCGCTGCCGCCATCTTGGCTCGCTTGCGCGACGCTGTTTCGTCGGCAGAAGGTAACGGCGGAAAGGCCGACGACGCCAGCACGGACGCGCTGCGGAACCCGGCGGGGAATGCGTTCGCTGAGTGGCGCGCAGCGGAGCACGCAAGGGTTGCAAGGCGGTTGAAGGGAGCGCTGCTGACTTGGCAGTGCGTCTGAGCGCGTGCGGCGGAGGCGAGAGAGATGGAGGCGAAGCGCAGCAGCGGCGATGCGAGGACGCGCATGGGAGCGGACCAGATGGGGGTGGTCGCGCAGTGCAGCTCGGCCGCTGGAAAAAACATTATGGGGTCAGAGACTATTTGTGTTACATAATATAATCATAACAACTGTTTTACTTCCGTGCATGTGGATGTGGCTCAGATGGTAGAGCGCTCGCTTAGCATGCGAGAGGTATGGGGATCGATACCCCACTTCTCCATCAGCTGTTTGCTTTTTTATCGAAGCTCAGACGATCTCCACGCGGCTGTGACCACGTCGCTCGCAGCACGAAAGCCAGCTCTTGATTTTTTCCCCCCGTCCGACACGGAACAGCGGAACAGCGTTTTCCCCGCCACCACCCGCACTTCGTGCCCTCATCTCCGCCGTGGCCCCGCCCGTCTCCTTTTCCACTCGCGCCTTCTCCCCGTCGTGCGACTCCCGCCCTCCCCCTCGTCGTGTGCTCTCTGCGTCATTCCCCTCCCAGCGTGCTACCCGCAATGCCCGCATTCGCCTCCCCGTAGGTGCGAACTTCCTCCGCCATGCACCTCCCCTCGTCCCCCCGGCTGCGCGCCCTCGCGGGGCTCTCCGCCGCCCTCGCGCTCGCCTGCATCTACGCCGCCGTGTCCGCCCCCTCCGCCTCCCTCCTCTCCGCCTTCGTTTCCGCAGGCGGGGAAGGCGGGGGGAATGGGCGCGAGGATTCGCGGAACGAAGGGGAAGCGGAGCTAGGCGGGCGAGCGTTTGATGACGCGGAGTGGGGAGAGGGGGAGATGGGGGAAGAGGGAGCGGGGCAGGCGGGGTTAGGGCGGGCGGACCTGTTTGCACTGGCAGCAGAGGCGGGGCGAGAGGGGGAGAGAGGGAGCGGAAGGGAGGGGGTGGGAGGCAAGGGCGAGGAGGATGCTACACTGTACCCGGCACTGGATGGCAGGTGGGCACTGGATGGCAGGTGGGCACTGGATGGCAGGTGGGCACTGGATGGCAGGTGGGCACTGGATGGCAGGTGGGCACTGGATGGCAGGTGGGCACTGGATGGCAGGTGGGCACTGGATGGCAGGTGGGCACTGGATGGCAGGTGGGCACTGGATGGCAGGTGGGCACTGGATGGCAGGTGGGCACTGGATGGCAGGTGGGCACTGGATGACAGGTGGGCACTGGATGACAGGTGGGCCGTGGGTGAGACGCCGTCTCAACACATGCACATCCGTGTGTTGCCTCTGTTACTGTTGCCTGCACTATGCTCTCCCCCCAACCCGTCATAGTCTCGCCCCCTTCCGCGCTCTCACGCCACTGCGCCACTGTGTGTGCGTCGCGCCGTCGTGCCGCTGTGCACCACTCTCTGCAACCAGCAGTGGGGGCGCTGCAGCACCACGCAGACAGCAGTGGGGGCGGTGCAGCAGCTCGCATGGTGCAGACGGCATCATGGTCCATCCTCCCGTGCAACAGAACGCCCTCCTTTTCAGCGCTCCAACATGCCATATCATTTGCTTTCCTTGTTCCGCCGTCTCTCTCCTTGCTCCACACCCATGCCGTGATATACGGCTCTGCTACCAGCATGCCGTGATATACGGCTCTGCTACCAGCATGCCGTGATATACGGCTCTGCTACCAGCATGCCGTGATATACGGCTCTGCTACCAGCACCAGGCAGCACCGGGGTCTGGGAGACCAGCACATAGTCACCACATAGTCAGCACTGAGTCAGCACTGAGTCAGCACCGTGACCCAAGAATCAACATGTGGTGGATTGGAGTCGATGCTGCATGCGTTCTTCTATGCATGTCCCCTCGCGCGCATCTCTAGGCCCCTGTCCCCGCATCCCCCCTTTCCCAGCCCATCGTCCCTGGCACTGCAAGCGCCCAGCGGAAGGGCGCCGCATCTCATGTCATTCTCACTTCCCCCCAACCCATTCCACATGCTGCACCCTTTCCTTCCAATCCCCTCCCACGTTCCCCCAGTTCTCCTGTGGTGCCGTTGCTAGCGGCACACAGGCAGCGCATGCAGCAGCGAGTGGAGGAGGCGAGGGTGCAGGCATAGCGGGATGAGCAGCGCCTGCACGCTGCTGTCAGGGCTGCCGTGCGGGTGAGGTTCAGGAAGGGGTGAGGCGCAGGAAGGGGTGAGGCGCAGGAAGGGGTGAGTACGTGGAGGGGGGAGATAGAGGAGTAGAGTCGGTGGCATGCTGAACATGGCAAGTGGCGTGTTGTTATGCTCAGCACGTTTGTTTGTAACAGCAGCACGGCAGCACGGCAGCAAAGCAGCACAGCAGCACGGCAGCACGGCAGCAGGGCAGCACGGCAGCAAAGCAGCACGGCAGCACGGCAGCACGGCAGCAGGGCAGCAGGGCAGCACGGCAGCACGGCAGCACGGCAGCACGGCAGCAGGGCAGCACGGCAGCACGACGCACGGCAGCAAAGCAGCACAGCAGCACGGCAGCACGGCAGCATGTGAGCGATGAGGGGATAGAATGAAGGCGGGGGAGTGTGGTAGGAGGGCGGTGAGGCTGGTGAGGGTGGTGGGAGAAAGCGGAGAAAGGGCGTGGCTGGAAGAGAACATGGAGGGGCGGATGGGCGATTTCAAGGGAACATGGCAGAGGGGTGGGGTGGGCACCCTCATCTGGCACGGGACTGAATGACACAAGGCAGGGCAGGCTCGGGGATATGCATCCCTTGCGCTGGCTGGCAGGGCACGGCAACCCTGAGCCAGGCAGGGCAGGCTCAGGGTGTGAGTAGTGAAGCAAGCTGCTCTGCTGTAAATGCATCCCCGTGTCTGGTGGGACTTGTTTGTTTTCCAGCCATACTGAATCTCGTTTTCTACCGAAGGGCACGTCAGTTTAGGGTTTAGGACTTGCAGCCATGATGAGTTGAGTTTTGAGTCGACTTACAAGTTGAGCCTGAGTGAACTGTGCAGGGCTGAGTGAACTGTGCAGGGCTGAGTGAACTGTGCAGGGCTGAGTGAACTGTGCAGGGCTGAGTGTGGAGCCTGGAGAGGAGCTGGTGGGGGATAGAGGGAGGGAGGAGCTGCGAGATAAGGAGAAAGGGGGCGATGGGATATGTGGAAGGGAAGGCGAAGGGGTGACGGACAGTCTCGTCAGCATGCTCGCTACCGCCTTCCTTCCCCTCCCACCTGCATCACGACCGTTTGTGGTTGCTCAACACGAACCCTGATTGGGACCCCTGTGCCCACTCGTCCCCTTGTTCTCTCCCTTACACCCTCTTCACGGTTTCCCAACCTCTTTCCCAACCTTCCCAACCTCTTTCCCAATCCCAGCCCCATCCAAGCTCAACCCATCCGTCACGAATGGCCATGGAGAGCAGCAGGTGCAGGTGGAGCGCGCATCGTTGGGGGAAGAGCTTCCCCCTGCTGAACAACGCGGCTTCTGACGCGCCTCAAATGCAACCACTTGCCAACCCCAACCCCAACCCCAACCCACCCCTCTCCCACCCCCACCCCAAACTCAACATGCGTGCGTGCACGGAGAGCAGCAGCTGCATGCACGGAGAGCAGCAGCTGCATGCACGGAGAGCAGCAGCTGCATGCACGGAGAGCAGCAGCTGCATGCACGGAGAGCAGCAGCTGCATGCACGGAGAGCAGCAGCTGCATGCACGGAGAGCAGCAGCTGCATGCACGGAGAGCAGCAGCTGCATGCACGGAGAGCAGCAGCTGCATGCACGGAGGGCAGCAGCTGCATGCACGGAGAGCAGCAGCTGCATCTGGACCACACATCAACGGAACACAGCTTCCCCCTGCTGGACGAGGCGGCTGCTGAGGCGTGTCAAAGGCAAATCGTTCCCAATTCCATTTCATCTCCATCCCATCCCCCCCCCCCCACCCCCACCCCCACCCCCACCCCCACCCCCACCCCCAACCCTGCATCTGTTTACGGAGAGCAGCAGCTGCAGGTGGACCGCGCATCGCTGGGCGACAGCTTTCCCCTGCTGGACGAGGCGGCCGCTTCGACCATTGCCGCGCTGCCACCTGGCAGCGACAGCCTGGCGCAGATCCACGCCATGCTGACAGCTGCTCCACGTGTCAACGTGGGAGAGGTGGACGTGGAGGGTGGCGTTGAGGGAGAGGGAGCGGTGGGAGCAGCAGCAAGCACAGGTGGAGAGGGGGGAGTAGAGGGGGCGGTGGGGGAAGAAGCGGTGCGGGAAGCAGCAGTGGAGGAGGCGTTGGGGGACGCAGTGGGGGAGTGCATGGATCTGTATTTCCTGGCGGAGGGGCAGCAGACTCGATTCCACATCGGTGTGTGAAGAGGAAGGCGGTTGGTAGGGCATGTTGGCTGGGGGGGAACATAGAGCACGAGGGCTGGTGGGGAGAGCAATAGGGTGCAAGAGCTGGCGGGGAGAGGGATTGGGTGCAAGGGCTGATGGGAAAGCAGTGGGTTTACAGGAATGGTTGGTTGCAGCGTCCACATTGCTCGTGTAGGGAGAACCATGCAGCCAATGAAGGTAATGAAAGAAATGTATTCCCTCCCGTTCCCCCTCCCCATCTCCTCCCCACTCGCTACCCCTCCCAACCCCTGGTGCCCATACAGCCACACAGGTACAGCAGCAGGCGGACAGGGAGGCGGAGCTGAGGCAGTTCATGCTGGGGCAGCTGAGAGCGCTGGACGACCGGCGGGAGTGGTGGGTGGCGCTCAACCTCACGGGCGAGGAGGCTAGCGAGAAGCTCAAGACCATGCCGGATGGCGCAGGTACGTGCTTTTGTTTTTGAGACGTCTGTCAAAGGCTGGAGGGACTGGTGGACCACCGCACGGCAAGGAGGCCTGTGAGAGGCTCAAGAGCATGCCCGATGGGGCAGGTGCGTGTGAGAGGCGAGTTGGAAACTGCGTATCCCTCACATCACACTGCCCTGGACGGCAATCTGGGTGCATGTGCGTTGGGGTGCGTACATTGGACCGTTGGGGTGCGTACATTGGACCGCGCAGGCACAGATGGTCTACAGACTCTACATGTGTGATGTGAGTGAGGTCAGCGCGGGAGAGCACAAGCATGGCAGAGCGCAGTCGGGCACAAGCATGGCAGAGCGCAGTCGGGGCACAAGCATGGAAGAGCGCAGTCGGGGCACAAGCATGGCAGAGCGCAGTCGGGGCACAAGCATGGCAGAGCGCAGTCGGGGCACAAGCATGGCAGAGCACAGTCGGGCACAAGCATGGCAGAGCGCAGTCGGGGCACAAGCATGGCAGAGCGCAGTCGGGGCACAAGCATGGCAGAGCGCAGTCGGGGCACAAGCATGGCAGATCGCAGTCGGGGCACAAGCATGGCAGAGCGCAGTCGGGGCACAAGCATGGCAGAGCGCAGTCGGGGCACAAGCATGGCAGAGCGCAGTCGGGGCACAAGCATGGCAGAGCGCAGTCGGGGCACAAGCATGGCAGAGCGCAGTCGGGGCACAAGCATGGCAGAGCGCAGTCGGGGCACAAGCATGGCAGAGCGCAGTCGGGGCACAAGCATGGCAGAGCGCAGTCGGGGCACAAGCATGGCAGAGCGCAGTCGGGGCACGAGCATGGCAGAGCGCAGTCGGGGCACGAGCATGGCAGAGCGCAGTCGGGGCACGAGCATGGCAGAGCGCAGTCGGGGCACGAGCATGGCAGAGCGCAGTCGGGGCACAAGCATGGCAGAGCGCAGTCGGGGCACAAGCATGGCAGAGCGCAGTCGGGGCACAAGCATGGCAGAGCGCAGTCGGGGCACAAGCATGGCAGAGCGCAGTCGGGCACAAGCATGGCAGAGCGCAGTCGGGGCACAAGTGCCAACAAAGACTGTCACTGTTAGTCAGGGGTTCATGTTGGTTACGACATGGCTGCTCCTTTTCCTACATTTGTTACCTCACCCATGCCTGCTTTCTTGCTCGCCTATTTCTGCTCAAATCCCTCGTCCCTCCCGTCTCTACAAAGACCTCTCTCTCTCTCGCCACCAGACACGACCAGTCTGATCGAGTTCCTCTTTTGCGACCCGCACTATTTTCCCTTCCTTCCCCCGCACCCTCCCACCAGAGAAGAGCAAGCTATCGGAGTTGCTGTTTTGGTATGTGCCGTGCCAGGCCTGGAGTAGAGGGTTCAACTCCTCTATTTTACTCCTTCCCTCCTCACCTCACTCCAACCCCCGTTCCTCTTCCTCCCACCAGAGAAGACCAAGTTATCGGAGTTCCTCTTCTGGTACCTGCCCTTCCACTCACCCCTTAATCGCCCTCCTCTCCTCCCTTCCACCCCTCATCTCTCTCCCCATTCCCCGTGCCTCCCACCAGACAAGACCAAGCTATCGGAGTTCCTCTTCTGGTACCTGCCCTTTCATGCCTGGTTCGACTCCGAGGGGCCCGACCACCCCAAGGCCGTCGCTCACGTGGACGAGCAGCGCGCTGTGCTGGCAGCCGCCACGTCAGCTGCCACGTCAGCAGAATCGACCCTGAAAGCCACGCAGGAGCGGCTGTGGGAGGAGTGTGGATTGCGGCTTCCCCACAGCAACTGGACAGACGAGCAGAGCGCACTGCTGGAGCGATACGCTGCTGTTGCCAACGTCTCCGGATGCACAGAACAGTGCACCGATTGGGAGGCTATTTACCCCGAGTACGAAACTCAACCGGGGCTAGTCGCCCCGAAGCACGTGTGGCAGAAGCTACCAGAGCACTACCCCGACACCCGCCCCAACGTCTCCTTCATTGTCACATACGGCGGGCGAGCAGAGCGCGTGCAGGCGCTGGTATCCCGCCTGTACGCGTGCACTCACGGCATGGCGGGGACTGGTTCCCTGCTGGGCATTCGAGCTGAGATGGTGGTGAGTGTGATGCACCCCGATGAGACGCTAGAGGCGTGGATGCAGGCGACCAACGACACTGCCGAGGGCATCTTTGTGGTGCCTGTGCTGCCGAGGTTGGGAGCCGCACCGCTGATGTTGAATGACCTGGCGAGGATGGCGCGCGGGGAGGTGGTGATGATGCTGCATGGGGACGCGCTGCCACCCGCCTCGTGCCTCTGGCTGGACAGCCTGCTGGCTGCGTTTGCTGCGTGGCCTCGCCTGGCAGTGGCGGGCTTCCGCACCGATGGGCTGGGGGAGGCTGGCAGCGCAGAGGGGCGTGTGGAGGGAGCGGAGGCGCTTCAAGAGGCTCCTGCTGCTGCCAGCGTGCGGTTTTGGAAGGCGTTTGCAGAGGAGATGGCGGGGAGAGGTGGAGGCAGCGGGGGAGGGAGCGGGGGAGCGGAGGGACGGGAGGGAGGGGAGGTGGGGTGGAAGGACCCAGAGATGGGGGTGGCGATGCACTTCACAGGGCTGGTAACCGCGTTCCCTGTGGTGGTGCGGCGCTGTGTGCTGGAGGACATGGGGTGGCTGGATGAGGCCGACATGCGGCAAGGAGGGGCGGCTGTCATGAGCGACTGGCACCTCTGCTCACGCACATGGCTCTCAGGCTACCAGGTGGGTGGTGGGCTACTAGGTGGGTGGTGGGCTGTCAGGTGGGTGGTGGGCTGTCAGGTGGGTGGTGGGATGTCAGGTGGGCGGTGGGCTGTTAGGGTGGCGAAACCAACAGTTTTTGCCATTCACCATCAAGCCCTGTGCTCCTAGCCAGTCACCAGCACCTTCCCCATCCTGCCTATCCCCCCACATGCTCTCCCCCCTCCTTCCCCCTCCGCCCACCACCTACAGGTGGCGCATGTACAGCTGCACACGGGGGAAGGCGACCCTGGGGACTGGCTCACTGTCACGCGCGCACAGCACCGCCACGTGCTGCCGGGGCATGGTGGGGGCGAGCAGGGCAGTGCAGTGGAGTATGGGGAGTACGACGCTGCGATGGCGGGGTACCATGATGACATTGTAAAGGAGGTCGCTCGGTTGAATCGCCTGCTCGTTCGCACTACATAATTAGGATGCGGTAAAAGTGCAAATATCGCAGGATCGTCTGCAAATATCGAGCCCCACAATTGGTTGGGCAGATCGATTGGCGAAACGTGGCGACCGCGACGTTGTAATGATCACACCTAAGAATTGACAGATCTCCCGCGATTAGTGATCAGTCGCATTCACACATTGTGAAGAAAAATTGGCCAAAATGTCAGAAGTCTAGGCAGGATTGAGAAACAGGAAAGAGCGGTTGCACTAGCAGGCAGTTGAATACATATAGCAAACCCTAATGTTGGGCTGTACACGCTATAGAGTACCGTATTCCCCCGGATATACCACCCTAGGGTGCTATGATAACTACACAAAAAAAAAGGGGGGGGGGTCTTGTCATCGGAAAAAGCTACATTGCACCCGGGTCTTTACATAATGTATATTTTTTTTATAGCGTAAAACGTTTAGTACTAAATGTACATCTGTGCCGTGGTGGTAGATTGCTGGTTGGGTGCGCAAAACCGAGGACTGGGCGAAAACGTTTTGCGCGAGGGTTAGCTGCCACATTGCAAGCTCCAACAAGGCCCACTGTCAGGCCCTGATTGGACGAAATCACACCCCCTCGTCGCACGACGAGGATTCATGCAGGTGACAATGGCGGAGTCCCCGCAACAGCCTCGGTTGCCTCGCTGGGCGGGCACGTCATTGAACTGTAGATGGATTATCATTGGAAACCCTGTGCTACTTAGGCAAAAACTGCAATTATACCCGTACATAACACACCCCCCCCCGGGTGCTATATAGGATGCCCCCAAAAGGGGGGGTATAGTAGAAACGAGGCCCGCTATAGCACCCCCCCCGCACAAGCCACCCGGGGGGTGCTCTATTTCGGGGGGTGGTATGTCCGGGGGAATACGGTACCCCACTGCAGGCTAGACAAACATCACATTCTGACACACCCCCATAGTCAAAGTGGGGTATAATCAGCACAACAAGCAGGCAGAGCAGTAGTTCACAATGATAAGCAAAGCTAGAGGTAGTCACAGAGGGCAAGTGAGGAGGAGGGACTGTGAGAGGAGTGGAGATAGGAGGCGTCGGGTGAAGCCGCAGACACACGGGCAACAGGAGCGGCGCGCACGGTGGCTACCGGAGCACTCAACCTCCGGACTACAGGAGTAACTGGCTCCGCACTAAGCTGCAGGAGCAACGGACCCACGGGCGACTGGCGCAGCAGGCTCGCTGGGCTACCGGAGTACTCAACCCCCGGACTACTGGCGCTGCTGACGTCACAACGGCTACCTCCGGTCAACCTCCCCCAGCTGTCCCACACCCCTTTCACACACCCCCTGCTGTACCTCTAGCACTGCTCACACGCCACCCCCCTCGTACCACTCCGACGGCTCCAACACATCCAACCCCCTCAGCGGCAGCTGCAGCAGTGGGAGACGGAGGAGGAGGAGGAGCAGGGGACGGCGCACACACCCGTCACCCCCATAATCGCCACCCCTACACTCGCCAACCCCAAACCCTAACACAGGCAGGAGCGCGGGCAGCAGCGGGGGCGGTGCGCGGGCAGCAGTTCGGGGGACAGCGCGCGGCTCCCCAGGGCGCCGCGACGGGGCAACAGGGGGCCGCGCGCGGCTCCCCAGGGCGTCGCGACGGTCGACGGGAGGGGGGGAAGCGCGGGTCCCCGGGGGCGATGCGACGGTCGACGGGGGGAACGCGCGGGTCCCCGGGGGCGACGCGACGGTTGACGGGGGGGGAACGCGCGGGTCCCCGGTGTGACGCACGAGCCAGTAAACCTCCGCGCGCCACGGGGCATGCGACAGACAGGATAGCAGCGGAAGCTAACGGTGGGCCCACAGGCCAGTGTCAGAATGTTATGTTTGTCTAGCCTGCAATGGGGTACTCTATAGCGAGTACAGCCCAGATTAGGGTTTGCTATATGTACTCAACTGCCTGCTAGTGAAAACCCTTCTTTCCTGATTCTGATTCTTGCCTAGACTTCTGACATGGTATCAGAGCAGGTCGACCCTCCTGGGTCGATCCTGTGGGTGGTCCCACCCAATGCTTCCGCTGCTTTTCTGCCTATCGCATGCTCTGCGTACGCGATGTTGGAAACAATTGATTTAAAGCGCTTCTGTCGTGGCGAAACACCAAGTCACAAGCGAAGCAAAGCATATCGAAGCACCGGCGAGTCAACCCTCGGAGGTTGAAGTAACCGCTGGAGGTTACGCGAAAGTCAAAGGTCAGCGACCTTTGACCTGACTAGTACAGTGCGACAGCAAGGACACACAACTGACTCGTTACAGAGCAGTTGCCCGAGTCGTCATTGTATCGAACCGCAACAGCAACAATAAAACAGTTATAGCTGTATCCTTTCATATTCCTTGTACTCTTATATAATCTTGTATCTCTTTGCTTTAATCAACTTACTTTGCCCTCACACACTAGCGCAAGGTGGTTCACAATCTCATCATTAAACGCTTCCGCTATTACATCGTTCCTACCCAGAGTTCACCCCTGCAAAGATCCTCTAAGGGCTTTTCTCAGCCCAACATGGTATGAGAGCTAACAGGGGGAATTCAACTACTATCAAGTCACCTACAACATCAGAAAACATGGCAACCCAGAAGGAAAGGAGTTCCTCTAATGGTTCTCCCGGCACTACCCCTACACCACCGCCTGCCTCTGGCCTGCAAACGGAGGAGAACCCGGCAACAAGACCAGCAGCGGGGTCTACCGAAACTCCCGCGAACCAAGCTTCAGGCTTCGACCCAAGTATGATGGAGAAATTTTTCTCCTTCATGTCCTTCTACGAGCAGCACCAGCAAGCGGGACCTGCGCAATCAAACAACAGCAACAACAACACCGCCACACCAATGAGTCTCGACGGCTCTTCCTACGCGGAAATCAACAGCAACAGCCTACCTTTGCTCCGTACGAGCGCGGGTCCATCAGCTTCATGCCGCACCCGCAGCCTTCACCTGGACAAGAGAAACCACTGGACGCGTTACAAGTTCAGTCGCAGTTCGCACGTTCTGAAACTGCAGACTTCGAGACTTTTCGACGGAAAGGACTTCTTCACCTGGTCGTTCGAGTTCGAATTGATGATGGAAGGCGCGCAGATTCTCGGCTTCTTCGACGGATCCCTGCCATACCCAACAAACGGCACACAGTATGAGAAGCAGCAGTACACCTATCAGTCAATGATGACGTACACAATCCTCCTATATGAGGAACATCACACCGACTCAGCAGCAGAACATACGGTCTTACCGGGGATACGGCAACTCCGCCGAGCTCGCATACAACCACTTGAAGAGCCTGTATCAAGCAACAAATAGTGTAGATCAGAGTCGGTTGATGGCACAACTGACAACAGTCGAAATGAAACCAGGGGAAAAGGGGATGGCGTATATCAGTCGCTGTCGCGAACTGCGCGACAAACTCCTTCGATGCGGAGGATCAATATCAGAAGATGCCTTCGTGACATTCATCATCGGCGGACTTGGCCCTCAATGGCGCGCCACAAAAGCCATTCTCCGAGCCCACGGAAGAATCTCCGAAGCAGCACTCTGCGCTGAAATTCACGCCGAGCAACAAGATATGGACCTGCAAGAAGAACGACACAAGAGAAAAACGTCAGTACCGGAATTCGCCTTCCACACACAGCGACGCTACGGCAACAACAACAACCGACAACAACCGAAGCCCGTACCTCCGTTTTGTCACATCTGCAAGACATCAGGACATCCGCGCACACACTGCCCCAACCGGCAGCACTCAACACCAACGCAGCGGCAACTCCGACCTTCAAGCAGTCAAGTGGCATCAACGTAGGCGAACCCCACGAGTCAGCCGCGGTCTTCAACAACACAACCTGCACAAGGAGCAAGAAACATCATCAGCTGTATGACAAGATTGACCGACTCCTGCATCAGCGATTCACCACCACACTACTCACCGGAAGAACAACTCGACAACAGCACGCCCCGCCGCGAGTCACTTCAACCAAACCCAACGTATGCAGCTATCGCCCAAAGTGAGCCGTCCGGAAAGGACACTTGGTTCTTGGACAGTTGCTGCGGGCAGCATATGTGCTCTTCAGGACGCTTCGTGCAGCGAGAGTACCAACTCCAACGCGAAGTAGTCATCACCGTCGCCAACAACCAAAACCTGCGCACACGACGACAAGGCGTGGTTCAACTTCAGTCACGGGAGACAAACGTCATACTGCAAATGACGAAGGTCTTAATAGCAGAAGGACTCGGCTACAACTTACTAAGCGTCAGTCAATTAATGGCGAAAGGGATCCACCTCGAGGCAGACAGCTCCACTCAAGAATTCAAACTGTACCACGGGAAGGGCGGACTTTACATCGGGAAGGCAGTATTGAAGAACAACGTCTTCGTCCTCGACTTCGTCCCAGATCTTGGCACCGCCGACAGCGACGGCATCGTCAGCTTTGCTCCTTGGACACACCCTCCAGATCTTGACCCAGACTTCAGCCCCGGTGGTTTCTGGCACTCTCACACGATACCTGAGGCAGAACGAACAAGAGCGTTAGCAACAATTCAACAATCAGCAGCAGCAGAGACAACACCGGCAGCAGCAGAGACAACATCGGCAGCAGCAGAGACAACATCGGCAGCAGCAGAGACAACATCGGCAGCAGCAGAGACAACAACAGCAACAGCAGGAACAACACCGGCAAAAGAAACAACAACGACGCCAATCGTTGGTCCTTCAACAACACCAATCCTTATCAACGATACGCCACCAACACCCGCGCAGCAGCTAGCTCCAACTCAACGAGAAGTCCACCGAAGCGCCAACTTCACCACCGGCTTCTACTCCAACTCCGACATGTATCGGCGCTCACCCGGACATCGCGCCAGCGAAGACATCTGGCACGCACGAATGGGACATCCAAGCAACACGGTGTTAAACAACACAATCAGAGCAGGCGTGCTCGATAAAGACTCACTGCTCCTAACCGACGGAAGCGAACTTTGACGAGCTCGCGG